GTCTAGGGGTTTAGGGATGTTTAGGGGTTTAGGGGTTTCGGGTTTAGGGTCATTTAGGGCATTTTGGACCCTTCCATCAGTATCTCAAGATGTGCTTCCATTCCTGCACCCCTGGTCGTCTGCCTCGGCGATAGGCGTCGATGGCGCGCTTCTTCTACGTGGTCGGGGGGCCCAGGGTATAGGGTCTCCCAGACTTTATCAATTTTCGGAGCTTTGGCCGGGGCACGATATCGTTTTAGGGTTTAGGGTTTCCATTGCTTTGAGTAGTATGGTTTTCTACAATTTTGTTGGTTGTTGTCGTCACTGCGGCCACAATTGCTGGGACTTGAGAGACCGTTACTGTGACGGGGATTAATGACCCGGCATCAAGCAAGGCCTAGTGTCGTCCTCTTCTATGCAGCTTTACATCCACGGCAAGATGGGTAGTTGTCTAAATTGGGGTCTTTTTAGGTCTCCAATATAGTACGGCACCCTCATACACGGCACCCTCAAACAGACCCTACTTTAGAGAACTACCCAGAAGGAAGCCATTGTCATGACAACTCCCGAAAGCCTAGCGTGACCCCGCGCCAAATGCTATTTTTGTGTCAATCCGGCGCAAAATCCCGTGTACACAACTCGTACCACAACATGGCAGTGTTCCTCACATGCACGAAGTTGCGCACGAGACTGGAAGGTCAGTCAGGAGTCCGTCATCCAGAAACGCGGCGCGGCGGCAGAAGTTTCAAGCACATCCCCTATGGCCATCGCATAATTTGGAGTTCTGATGGTGGCAGCTGAAGCCACGAAATTGAACCATGCTTTGGGCAGCCACAGGTCAGTTGGCAAATTGCAGTATTCTGACGGTAAGATGATAAGGCAGTGAGTTGCAAACAAAACCCCGAAACCCTGAACTTTAGTTTGTTCTGACTGAAGAGTTGCATCAGACCAGTGGCTCCATGTGAACCTCGAGAAATTTGGTGGCCTCGGTGTTCCCATGTGTTGTAATAGACACCTGTATCGCTGATTTCGCCTGACTCTTGCAGTCCGCGATCTTAGTAATTAGCAAAGTTGTTGCAAAGGTTCCCCCACTTTTCATCTGTAGCAGATAGCATAGTAACCTCCCTCCCTCTGCAGCGAACACACCCTCTAGTTGTTGAGGCCCTCATGTTGTGTTGCAACGGATGCTTCGAGACCGGCCAGCCGCATGCTGTGTTTTCTCCATGAACGTCGAGCCCTCTCGCCCATAAACCATAAACCTTAAAACCTTAACCCTAAACCCGCCTAAATCTTGCCCGACTGTATCAGTCTAACCCCCGATCCTAAAACTTCCTGAACCCTCAGAACCCTAAATCCCTAAATCCCTAAATCCCTAAATCCCTAAATCCCTAAATCCCTAAATCCCTAAATCCCTGAACCCGAAACCCTCAAGCCTGGAAGACGAAAACCCATGCCTCTCAGACCCTGTAGGCCGAAATCCTAAACCCGAAACATTAGACCCTAAACCCTACATGAAAGGTTTGCATGACGATCGGAAGACGGTTGGCCCGATCGAAAGCTTGTCCTTGGAGGATGTGCACTTCGCGCCCCCGGGCTCGTCGCATCAGAGTTGGTGTGTAATATGGAAGCCCAAATAATGACCCATATTATTCCTTAGGGTTTTGGTGTCCCTGAAATTCGGACACTTTCATGTATATCTGCTTAAGCTGGTCATGAACCAAATGGGACGAACATATGATTATTCCCTTTTGCTCCAGCTTTTTCACGTCCACATGCTGGTGTCGGGAATGCGTGGCACGATGACATTTAGCTTTCGAAGATGCCTCGCAGCTTCATTCCGGCGTCAGCCCTTTTAGCCAAGAGCTTGGCAATGACGTATATGGAGGCCCATGGGACTTAGTAAGTCGGTTATAAATAGGGTTATGGTTGCGGTAACTCCAGTTAGGGTACTTACAACTCTACTTATAACCTACTTAGTAAGTCCTTGGGCCTCCAAGTAACGTCACAAGGTATCCCGCCCGCCCGGAGATGAAGATCTTGCATGGACTCAGCCTGACGATCAAGAAGGCGATGCAGTCCGGCAGATTTGTTTAGGGGTGTAGGGTTTAGGGATTTAGGGTTTAGGGTTTAGGGGCAGATTTGTCTTGCAAAGTCGGTGATGTTGGGAGATCGCCGTGCTGCTAGTGTAGCTGCTAATTCTAGCGGCTGAGTATGGCAATCCTCAGGCCGCAGGTCACCGTTTCCACATCTCCGACAGCCGATAGCACACCTTCGCTCCCCTGTGAGCAGAAGCATGTAGAATCCCCTGTAATGGGCCCTGAATGCGACTCCCACGCGGTCGTTGATGTTGCCAGACTTTAGCTTTCTTTTCCACTTCCACAGGATTGCTTTCTGGCACCAGCGTGCAGCTTTTGGACGAGTCGTCAGTTGTGTCGCGAAAGCTGTTGGGCCAAGACCGCTTTAAGTTGTAACCCACAGCGGCCAGGGACAGAAAGTGGCAGTGGTGGGCGAGTCTGGCAGCGGCAAGAGCACGATCATGGCGTTGCTTGCGTCTTGGCACTTCCGTGGTTGGGCCATGCCGTAGTCTGAATGCTTAGACTATCGTCCTCCGATCGTCCTTCTATAGTTGTACGGTACTGCCATCAAGGCCCCCATGATGTACCTGGGCACTCGATTTCTTATGTGTTTCGTATGGTTTCGTTGGTTAAACACTTGCTTCAACTTGACCCAGCCAGCATTTTCGTGGACTGCAGTGCACAGGTCGTACTCGCACAAGAGAATGTATGCAGTATGGTGGCCCTGCCCACATCCGCGGATGGCCCATATCAAACCCCAAGCCCAGCTCGTTGCGAGAGTTCACACCCTACACCCACACCCTAACCCTAGACCCTAAACCCTAGACCCTAAACATTAAACCACTGGCTCAGGAACGCTTCTACGACCCGCAACAAGGTGCAGTGAAGATCAACGGCGAAGATTTGAGGAGCCACGTCCTGGTCTTTACAGGGTTGTTGCAGGATTTTGGTAGGGTTCTCTGGGGTTTCATAGAGTTTTCGTAAATGGGATGTCCAAACGGGCCAGGTGAATGGGATATCCCCTGTCCCCTTGCAGTCCCCAGTGGTTTTGCTCTCTGATCTCTGACGGGTTTGAGATTTGTGTTTTGCCCCCCCCCCATATATATATATATATACACATACACACAGATACACACACACACACACACATATATATATATATATATACACAGACACACACACCCCCACCCACACACGCACACACGCACCGGCACACACGCACCTGCACGCGCGCACGCGC